ATAAAGTTGAGACTCTTGATCAAAGATAAGTTTTGAAATATAGTCAGATTTACGTAATGTTAACCAAAAACAACGTATCATACATCATTTTAAATCGTAATGACGTCAAATGATAACAATGATGTCATGATGACATCAGAAATGCGCGTTTCAGTCAGTGACAACTAGGTTACGACCCTGCCACGGCTAATCCCTTCAAAAATACTTCTATATTCAATGTTTTAGTTTGCATACTTACACTATGAGGTATCAAGCATCTTGAGGTGCGTAAATTGTGAGGTACGTACTGTGAGGTACATACACCGTGAAGTACATACGTACACTATGAGGTACATGCATCTTGAGGTACGTAAATTGTGAGGTACGTACGTACCCTGTGAGGCACATACACTGTGAAGTACATACTTACACCATGAGGTACATGCATCTTGAGGTACGTAAATTGTGAGGTACGTACGTACTCCGTGAGGTACATTCACTGTTTTAGCCGCATTAAGCGGCATGGAAGCGGTCAGACCGAGTGACGTACGAATAAAGGCGTATATCCGTACGTTACATCCACCGACGCGCTATTGCAATGTGACCTACACTTACATAAACCGTCTTGACGACACATGAGTACAGTACAGATTCGAAAAATAGTCTGTATGTTCGTCGAGGATAAAGATCACGACTGAGGAAATTGTTTTCAAAGACTCTAGTTTGATAAATACGCCAGTTTGATAAAAAATCACTTACTTGAGTTGTATTACACAATTGTGTAATCAGTCTCATCGACGTCTTTTATCATACTATACCTACATGTAGTCTTTTGTTTACAAGAAATCGTTGGTTTTTACCGCAGATTATTATCTCTGCAAAGTTCGAGCGTGACTAAAAATCCGATATGGCGGTCAGGTATTTTTTGACTTTCATTTCCACCTGACATGTTAAAAATAACAGTGCATGAAAGTGAAGTTTAGCACGTATATAGTCATGCATTTCCCGTTTTTGTTTTTCCGTTGTTTTACATTAGCAGCACATTTTTTATGCATTTTAAAAAATGACATTCCATCAAAGCTTTCATCTATGTTTTTATAAGTACTGTATAAGATCCAGTTTTATCCACGCCCTGCAAATTTGCAGGTTATTTACAGAATTTTGGACAAATACWGGATATTTACATACTTTRTAAATATCCCGTAAATCGAATTTACATCGTATTTCCATCATATTTACAGGGTTCACGGCGCGCGATTTTTTTCCAGTGAAAGGTTGAAAGTTGCTATTAAATTAAAATGAAAACAATGGGACCCAGAAAGTAGAGTGGGGTAAAATTTGATACGATGCGTAAGAACAACAGATCTACACTTTACTGCAAAAAAGCGGAATTGATAGGTATTTTACTTCTTCAGCTATGGAAATAGACACTTTAAGCTCATCCGCTGTTTGTGTTTCTTTTTATTGAATAGATGTAATAAAACATTACGATTCCAGAGAGGTAAAAGATCCATTTAAGAGAAACCACACTTCTTTGCTTTAAAATGATGAAACAATTAGAATTTAGTTTCCTTACGAGTAAATGACGAATAATCAATATGATCTTAACCTCCATATCTTAAAGTGACTTATTCTCCAAAGCAGATTTCAATTCATAATGGCTCGTTTTTGTTGCGGTTTGTAGTAGTTGCTATGAAAACGTTAGGGCTCTTCAACACTGACGTGTTTCCATAGCATTTTTATTCCCTCGAGAACGAACAATGATAAAACGCTACGAAAACGTTAGGCAAGTCTGCGGCACTGATACGTTTCCCTGGCGTTTTTTGCATTATTTTTTTTTTTTTTTTTACCTTGAGAACGAGCAAGAAAAAAGCACACTCATACGYAAACATAACGTTTTTAGAACGGTCTTCCTAAAGAGAATGAAAAGCAACAAAATGCTACTTAAATGCGTCAGTATTCAGAAGACCTCGGAGCGCTGAAATTAAATTTAAAAGTTTGGATATTGTTTACATTGATATACAGAATTCCTTTAATAATCCTTCCTATATTTTACTTGCGGTGAATACGGCTTCTTTTCAAAATTGTTTCGAGCTTCATTCTTAATGCAGTTATGTATCGTTTGATCTTTATTGATAGATGTATATGAAAAACATCAGGACTTCAATCTTAGAAGCACTATGGATTAGTCGTGCTTCCGATGTAAACACCAAATAATGCATAAAATCMAGAATAGAATTAACGTTATATTGCTCAATTTATTTTGATTAAAATGTACAATATAATATAATAACTACTTGTCTGCTTCGCATCCACTTCTCTTTCCGATCTGGCTTTACGGCATCAAGGGAAGACACTATTTGGAAATAAATCAATGCGAGTTTAAGGCGGAATTAAACCTTTAGCCTACAGCCATGATATCGCATTCAACCACGACTGTCGCAAAGATTCAGAATAATTGTTGGATATATCTAGGACATGTGTGGATTTACTGTAAGGATGTCTATTGTCTGTATTTGCGATGGTCGTAGGCTAGAGTTATACCGTCTAATCTTGCCTTACTTTTACCAAATAGTATATCCCATGAACCATTTCGGTCTACGATCTACCCTTTTTGATAAGATATTGACAACGTTTCCAAAATGTGTTGTAAGAGAAGTTTCCTTGTTGTCCTTGACAAGAATTTTTCCCTTTTCTCAGTTTTTTTCCTTTCTTTCTTTCTTTTTTTTTTAATGTTATTTATTCTGAGTTCCTATGCTTACCCTGCGGGCTTATTATATTTAATCTTTTTATTACCGACTTAGGGATTTTAAATTAGATTTATATTTAACTCGACGGTTCTAGACTCTTAAAGCCAGAAGGAAGCATAAGTAACATCAACGTGGTTTTTCGTAATAAACTCATGATACTTGTGCAGAAAATAACATTACTGAAACGGATCCTKAACCAGTTAAAACAAGACACGCGATGCCGGATATACGAAGTACCACTAGTAATTGTAAGTTTTTCGATTGAATAGCCGAAGACAGGTAACAGGTCCTTTTAAATCGTCCAGTTTTTCTTTTCTAGTGAGTATCTGTGTTATCGACATGCTAATACTGAGTGATATGTTTTAGTTAGCTGGATTTTAAGAAAGGACAGTTTGCAAATAATCGAAGATCGAAAACCCCAGGACTGAAAAGAAACACGATAGTGGTAATGCACACTTAAAAATTGCGCAGYGTCCTGTTATTGACACACTCTTATTGATGTCATAAAATGTTCAAAACTCAAGTTGGCACACGACCGGAGCGGCTGGGTTTCACTACAAAGCTTAGGACATTTTATGACGTCAAGATTGCTCAATAAGAGGACATACAAGGAAAAAATCATGGATAATCAATTTGTATTTCACTTTGGTTATTAAATTGCGAAATCATTCTTTTCATTACAAATGAGTGCGCTCGCAAAAAGCGTTCGGTGTCAGAACAGCTTGTATTTCTGCCATTCATGCAGCACGCGGGCCGATTTGTGGGCGTTGTTTTGAATAATTGTCAATTGTTTCTTGTTACTTTGTTATTATTCATATTTTATTATTTGTTGTTGTTGAATGTTCAGTGACTCCTCTGCTATTTCTAGTCCGTTACAATAATGATTGTCGAGTGTCATTTTTGTATTGTCATTCACTAATGCACTTGAGTACTTTCCTAAAAATGAAAGTGTATTAAAAATATGGAAAAGATTTTTGTAGCGGATTCTGTTACGTTCTATCAATTGGGGCACTGTAACGTAAAACTGGAGCCGGAACGTAAAATTTGGATAATTTTTCTAGTCAATGTTAAGATTGATCAGGACTGACATAAAATTAAAAGTCATAAGTATGCGAAACAACTTCTTAAAATGCTTAAAGCCATCTAGCTCTTTTCATAATAGCATCTCTTGAAACTGTCGATCATATTTACTAGGTAAAGAGTGCTTCCAACATATCGCCACTATTGCTTCACTATGATTGGAAGATAAGGCCATGACGTCACGTCAACCCACGGAGATTTAAAGATCAGACTAGCGTATTTAAATCATTTGACTTTTTTCAGTCCTCGAACATAGGCGTTCAAAATTAATCAGCCATAGCAATTCTGACTCAATATGAACACTTCTATCAGTAACATTACTGGAGTGGCAAGGACATCCCAGAATAATGGTCGATTGGTCAAAATCACCGTGTGTTCTATTCTTGCATTCACTGGTCTTCTAAGTAACACTATGATAGTGATACTATTTACAAAAAACAAACTCTTAAGAAGGTCAAGCAACGCGTTTATTCTCAACATGGCGATCTCCGACTTGCTTGTGCCTCCTTTTTCCATTTCAATCCTCCTTCTTAATGAAGTCAACAATAGTCTTGATTGGCAAATTTCTGGAGTACCTGGATTGTATATGTGTAAAATTGTTACATTTTTGGGAGATTTGTCGCCTTTGGTATCCACGTTTTGTCTTGTTTTCATGTCTTTCGACCGGTTCTTGGCCGTTGTGTACCCTACAAAGAGGCACCTACGAACGCCAAGAGTCCGAAGATATTTTATTGKAATCAGTTGGTTTGTGCCCATCTTATACTGCCTTAAGAACGTTTATGCCTATCAAATCGTTGGACACTACTGCGGTGAATACTGGGGGCCTCCTTTGAGTCACCATAAACTTACATTAACAATGCTCAAGATTCTCTATAGTGTTATCTTCATCTTTTTACCTCTAGTTCTCATAACCGTATTCTATGGATGCATACTATGGACCCTACGAAAACAGCATCTTCTCCACAAAAAGAGCATCTTCTGTCAGTACCAGGTACGACAACGGCGCAGACAACGCAAAAAGATCAACATTTTAGCTTTTAGTGTCGTRCTTGCGTTTGTTCTTTGTTACGGGCCGTTGTACTGTCTTATCTATATAAATTTTTCATTTTTGAAATGGACTAGGCCAAAGGGAATTTTCAAAAGCTTGATCATCCCTGCATACCTGTTAGCTTATGCTAATTCTACAATAAACCCCGTCATTTGCTTTCTATTTAACAGCGAGCTCAGAAAAATTCTCAAAGAGTCTCTCCCTTGTCACATTAAGATATGTAAAAGTGATTACCAATGTAGGCTTTTTGGCTTGCGAAAAAGCTATGAGCTGAARACGATTGATGTGTCGAGTGCTCCAGCAACTGTTATGACTAGCGTGACTTACATTAATGATAATGAAGAGAGACTGGTAAAGATTGTCAAGGATCACAGMAATAATGGTGGATATGTGATCCGATTTGAAAACCTTAATGAGAGAATGTAATATTAAAATTATATATCCTGATAAATGAAGACAAACAGATGTCCAACTATCTGTGGATGTAATAAATGACTGTGTATCAAATATAGTTCGGTATGGACGAAACTGAGCTAGAAAAAAGATAAGACGTATATTTGACTTGAATGGATATGACAGAACTGGTGAACGAATGCATGAATGGATGGATRRATAGTAAATCGATAAATGAATTATTGGATGGATGACAAGTCAATTATTGGATGGATGAATGGGTGGACAAGTGAATAAATCACTACTCGATGAATGAAAAACAAATCGTCTATATATATTTTAAAAGCGAACTAAATTACGAAAAATATCATATATCTACAACTAGAGAGGAAAGAAAATGAGTTAATTAAGTGGAATATAATTAAATTTAGGAAAACCTTCGACAAATATATATATCGCGCAACATTCGAAAGAACATTTTCACATTGAACATTGCAATAGAATATCACAGTCGAATCGATTTGTTAATTTTCTCATTAGCAGCTCTTGAAAAAGTTAAAAAAATGCGCTTTTGCCGTCGAATTGTCCGCCGGCGGCAAATCTAAGCTTTTTATTAACCAAAAAGCTGTAAAAGTACACTATGTCTGTGTCTGTATGGATGAAATGACAAATAAACATACAAAAAAAGGCGGAACCGACTTCTACTCTACAAGATGCTAATAGCGGAGTCTCTTTGAAATATGGGATGGATTGGTTTCATGACATTCTCGATCAATATCGACTTTTTAGCGTGTGGCTTCGAGGCAAAGCTAAATGACTATTTATTTTGAGACCTTTTTACTGTCCCTTAGAGATAAATTTCCTTTTTCTAATGCACTTTACTCAATCTATGGTGGWATCATCGTCTTTCTACGTCTAGAATAGCAGAAATCTCATTTCCTCTTCTCAGACATTTRGTGACCGTTTTTGGTGCATTAGTTGTCATATTCTAAGCTTATTCCTCACCATTAATTCATCATATCGCCATCTTTTAGAACAGCAGTGAGCAACCAATTGTCACAATGTCGGTGTAGGGCGTTTGAGTTCCTTAAAGCTGTTTCTTTGCCTCGTTTTTACATAGATGTTCATTTCTCTTGCGTATGTTGACTTTGAATTGTTTTGTTCATATTTCCAGTATTCATCCATATTTCATATCGACATGTTATGATTATTTTTAAGTTGTTGTTGTCAGTGAATTTCCGTATATGTATCATTTCATGTTTTAGATTTTTATCTCATAAGACTTCTCAGAATAGAGGATGAATTGCAGGTATATCCCATCGAGAAGTTATCGCCAAGGGTTTTTCTCGCAGTAACCGCATTTCTAATTCAATTCAATTCAGTTTCATTTTTTTTTTTTCACTGTTCGTTTCAGGTAAGATAAAAAAAATATTTGTACTTACGAGTAAATGATATATATAGTGTTTGTAAGTGGATGACAGCTTTAAGAAGCAAGGGTTGTCACTAAGTGTCATGAGGAAAGAAAGAAAGAAAAAAAGCAAGAAAAGAAAGGATAAAAATATCTACAAAATGGACAAAAGAACAAAAAAACATGTTTTTATTGCTGCTTTTTTGAATTTTCATCTAAAAGTTGTCACAATATCTTTATATTTGATAAAATATGTCTCGATGTTCAATGTCTTCCGGATACCGTCAAAATAGAAGTGATAAAATTCACGGTAATCTGACTTTCAAGTACAATAGATCCTGTTATTTTTTAAAGATTTTAATCAAAACAAAAGCTTCAAATAGATGCGGTCTAAAATGGTCCGGTTACAAGTTCCCTAATGCTTGCACTTTCGTCCAGATTGTTCAATGTACATCTGTGCGTGTGATTAAAAAGGGTACAATGCTTCAAAGTCCATTCATYGACACATGCATTCTTCTCACACATCATTCATCCTCTTTTCCACAAATACTCAAGTGACGAGTATTCTTAAAGAATATATGAAAATTGCAAGATTCAAATCTGCTTTTTATGTTGACTTTTCAGCTTGATCAAGTCTTCTTATCTCAAATCTGAGTTCCTATTTGTCATCTGTGTTCCCATCGCGCTTCAAAATGTTGAAAAGAAACTAAATTGAAGGTGAAATCCCAAACTTCTTTCAGATAAAAGCTCAAATGTCTTCTTCAAACAATCCCCCTGCCTTTTTAAGGACACTCTAGAGTCCTGTGAGTTCTTAGCCTTGTTCAAATATCGAAAAGAACAAATACCAAAAGGTGACATTCTAAACTGCTTTTTTTTWAMMWTTTTWWTTYMAAARRMMA